AGAACAGGTCTGGGAAGGGATTGGAGTATCAGCCCTCTTTGGTTACAGACAAACTTCTTATCGAGGAGACTATAGAGATCCATACCCCTGGCCATGTCATAGCTGCTCAAGCTCCAGGGACTTGGATTGCAATATGCACATAACTTCTGCTTCAGAAGCTATTGGAAGAACAGAAACATAAGGAAGGCCATGTGAGATATATCTGGCACATGTGAGGTAGCTTAAAACACGAGCTGAAAACTGTGCTTGCAATGGGCCCAATAGACTGGCTGTCTTCAGTGACCTTTACCCAAGCTCCTATAATAGCTGTGTTGTGGAGAATATCCTATAAGCCAAGGTCCTACCACCTGTAAGGGAGGCTGGATTAGGGTGTGTACATGCACTGGAATGAAAGGCTGCTTTGTGGGGAGCTGACAAGCATGCCTCATTCTTCCACAAAGAATCTCCCCCAGATGTGAGGGTCAACTACCCCTGGTTTGCTGTGGACACTTCACACAGTCCCTGAAGCAGAGGCCACCTTTACAGAAGAAAGTAGACTCCCCAACACCTTCCCTGCTATCTCCTCCTGCCTTCTAATTCCTCTTCACCCCTACTCTCTCTCTCCAGAATGAAACACCAGCCCTGCCCCCACCCACAGTGGCAGCACAAGATGACCGTGGTCACCCAGCCATGGCTGCTCCCTTTGTCAGGGAGTGCAGGCAGCCGTTCTTTTCTTGTCCCTGCAGAATCTGGGCTCTCTGAGGGCAGGCACAGTCAGAGAAATGATAACCTGAAGGTCACTGAGCCATATCAGAGTTCCACCTCCTGTCCTCTCCAGCTTTGGACTTTAGCAAGCCACTGAACTACTTACTCTCAGTCTTGGTTTTTCCATATGTAAACTGGAGATCGTAGTGCTTGCCTTGCAGGATTCAAGATATATTTTGATAATGTCTGGTTCAGTGGTCCATAAACTTTTTTTAGAGCACATAAATTCATACTCAATTTAAATCTCAAGAGAAATCCCAGTATATAAAATAGCTCTGTTGGCAGCAGAGGTGTAAAGCAGGCAGCTAGGACTCCTCCACCAAATGCTGGGAGTTCAGGGAGCCCAACATAGACGAGACCAGGTTCCAACTCTGACAGCCAGCTCAGGAGTGAACTGGGAATGCCACAACAGCAAGAGGAGGTGGATGGATTGTTTGACAAACTGGCATCAAAGGTGGGAGCATCTCTAGGAGAGACAGGGGTGGGGGGTAGGGGTGAGAAGAGTGCCCTGGGAGCATGTGGAGGAAGAAGCTGCCTCTAGACGTCCACTGTCTCACACTGAAGACCCCACTCTAATTTCCTATAGGCAGCTGGAGAAATGAGAGACTCCTTGTCACAGCCGACTCTCACCTGTTCAACGGACATAGTCTCTGTTCTCCCCATAGAAAGCCTTGCCTCACCCTGCACCTGCTAGCTGAAGTGCCCTTTTCCTAATTTCTCTATCCAAATCTGGCTTACCCTTTGAGTTCACCTTGTTACTACCTCTCGGAGGCCTTCTGTGATTGTCTCCAACCAAGACCAAGAGCAGCATTTCCTTCCTCTGGCCTCCTGCAGCATAGAGGTGGGGAGAGGAAGAGCATACAGAGCCTAAGAGCATGGGACTCAGTTTCTCCATCTAGAACTAAACTAAGTGAACCGGGTAAAGCCCAGCGCACAATAGGTACTCAGCAAACAGAAACTGTTCGCCATGATGTGGCTGCATCCTCTTCCAAGTTCTGGCACGTAGTAGGTACCAACAAAAATGCTTAGTGGGTGACCAGTAGATAACCTCACACCTCCAATAAACATGTCTTGCTGTCCACTGTCCACTAACTCCCTGGGTGCCCCCCAAACTGGCTCCCTTGAGTTAGAAGCTATATTTGGGGGGCAGAGGAAATAGAGGAAGAATTAGGAGAATGCCAGGCAGCTGGACTCACCTAGCAACAGATGCTGGCGATGAAGGCCTTGGGGGCTTCATCTACCCATCATCCTCCTCCAGCCTCGAGAGGGCTTTCTCCCATTTAATAGGTGAGAAAACTAAGACCTAGTAAATTGGTGGCACCGTGTCTGCAAGACTGCTGGAATAATCTGGTCCTGCTTAATCAACATCTTATTTTACTGACAGGGAATCTCAAAAATGAATACAGTCTTGACCAAGGCCTCAGAAAAACTAAAGTTCAGGTCTGGTTCTAACCCCATCCTACACATAGGGTAGGAGGTGGGCTTCCTGCCTGCTGATTTTTATTCCAAAGGGAAAGCAGGCTGGCTGCTCAATGGAACAAAAGGAGGAATTTTACCCTTCTGGGCTTGAAGGCAGCTGTGAGAATCCATGAGAGCTACAGAGGCTCAACCTAAGGCAACCAGGTCTGGAAACAGCTACACAGTTCCCACTGCACTCTCATGCCTTCCAGGGGGAGTTTAGGAGGTCAGAAAACATCGAGACCCTTGCAGAGGCTGTGGCAAGCTGCATTTTGAGGCTGAGTTCTGATGCTGCAGTGGAGGGGCTGAATCGAGGGCGAGGGCGGAGAGGGGCTGGGGTAGAATAGCAATGAGCCAGACTGCTGGAAGCCAGCCAGCCTCAGGTTCTGAAGACAGAGTCAGGGCTCCCCCCACCCAGCCCCTTCGAGCACACTCACACACACTCTCTCTCACACACACACTCTCACACACACTCACACACACACACACACACACACACACACACACACACAGGTGTGTGCGCACATGCACCTCTCTCACACCCTCATATGCGTGTGTCTCTCTCTCTCTCTCTCTCTCTCTCTCTCTCTCTCTCTCTCTCTCTCTCTCACCTCTCACACACACATGTATCTCTCTTACACACACATACCCCTCTCTCACATACACACACCCCTCATGAAATTCTTCACTCAAAGCTCCTAAAGAAGCTATCACAGTAACAATGTCTAATAAATGCCTGTGTTTAGATGAGCTTGTGTGAATGTGTGGCCAGTTGGCGTCTTAGCTCATCTACAATACCTACCATCTGACTATCATTTTCCATTGTCCATTTCACAGGTAAGCCACACTGAGGCCCACCCTCCCAGTCTTGGCTTGTGGGAACTGCATCTAATGCCGGAGATCAGGGACCAAGCCACGGGCTGAGCTGGTTACTAAGTCAGATTTTCTCCTGGGATCAAGCAAGTGGCTAAGGAGACACAGGAAATACTAAGCCTTCTACCCTCTTCTTGAACTTAACTGCCCCTACAGCACCTCTTCCCTAAGAGTCACACGAGAGGTGAGCTCCCTCCCTTGAGACAGTGATGGTCCAAGTGTGTCTAATAACGATCCTTCCTTGGGGTTGCAGGAAGACACTGGGTCTGATAAGAGCCTCTTCCAAGACTGCTGCAGCTACGGTCTTACCTGTGGAGAAGGTGGGTACAACAGAGGATCAAGGCCAGGCCCAGGGAGATACAGACTAGAAGAGGTGAAGACAGAGCCCTAGGGCAATCTGTCTGTCCCTGAGTGTCTAGTCCCAGCTGTTCTACTCTTAAACCCCTGTGCCTATCAGGTACCCTTCCTGTCCTCTAGGTTGCATCAACTCTCTCTTTGGCTTAAACTGTCCATGAATTTTCCTCCTAGACCGTATGGAGACCATTATTCAATAACACACACTTGTGTAGTATGTAAGGTGAGTGCCTGGTACACAGTGGATGGCCAGTTGCCTATTAGTTACCCGGTATCCTTTCTCTGCCTCACCCCACCAATGTAAATTCCTTGTAGTGAGAACCCTACCTGAAGTTTTTACTGCTCCCTGCCCTGTACCTACAAGTCTCAGGCATAGTGTGGAGTGGGCAGCCAAGTGAAAGAATCCATCTATCCTCATGTGCTATATGTACCTTCCTACGTGGCTAGCATTTCACCAATCTTAGCACACTGGGAGAATGTGGACCTGAACCACAGGCTCTATGAGGACCCCCACAGTCATCTAATCCCCCTCCTTTGAAGTCCAGGGCTGCAATAAAGGCCCCCAAAGCCCACGTGTTGCTGTCCTGAAGAGCAAGTCCTTGGAAGTGAAACCCCATGAGTATGGAAGATCTGATTTTCTGGATGCAGAGTCCCAAAGGTAGAAATGGGCTTGGTCTGAGCTCCCTCCTCCTTAGACCACTCTAAGTTCTCTCCTTCTAAATGGATTTGGATACCAAGGCAACTAATGGGGGCTAGGCTTGCACCATGGACCAGGCACCTTCTTAACAGTATTTCACAAATGGCATCTACCCAACCCCCTAGCTGACTCGATGAGAAGGGCACCCTCATCTGCACTCCTCAATTGAGGAACTAGAAGTCAGGGAAGCTAAGGGACTTGGCCAAGGTCACCAGGCTAGGAAACAGTAGGGCATCTCTGGAGTGCTTGCCTTCTAACATCTCTGCACCCTCCCGCATGCCCTGAGGGGAGGGGGCAGCTGAGGAGGAGTGAGCCCTGCCTGAGCCAGATGAGCTCTCGAGAAACTGGGAGGTTTCAAGATTGAAGCTGGGGGGGTTGAAATGCCACAGTGAAGGCCCCTTGAGGCTGCCCTCAAGGGCTCCCAAGGGGTGAGGGTGCTCTCTTGCTAGAGTAGTGAAAAGACAGTCTTCCAGCATACCACCCCTCCCCTGCCCGATATTCTCACTGCCAAATGAAACCTGGCAGCTTCTGAAAATAGCTCCGCGCTGTAGCAGGCACTCTGCCCGCCCTTCAGCAGGCTGGCACGCAGCTGGGGGTGGCCACTGTGGGCAGACGCTGGCACACACAGGGCCGGGGGTGGGTGTCACACATACAGTGCACAGGGGCGGCACAGAGCTGGAGGTATGAGGCAGCTGCCATCCCTCAGTTGTCCTGACCTTTCCACAGTGAATGAGGCAGAGGTGCTGATCAGCTTGGCATGTTTACCAGGCTAGAGGCGCCCTCTCCAGCCAGGATAAAGTCACTAGGAGGGGTGTGGAGCTGCCCTTTCACCAGTTGTGTCCACCTAGGTATACAAAAGGAAACCCAGGAATCATTGAAAAATGTTAAAAAGATGTTTATTAATATCTGGATATAAATCCAGCAGTATTGTCCTAGCTGATATGATCTAAGGTTTCCCAGCCAGTGAGAAAGGCCAGGATCTAGGAACAAGGCTGGGTGCCAGGCACTTGTCAGGTCATCTATCAAACACTCAGCACCTGGAGGCTACCCCGTACATGGCAGGGCAGAGCTGGCTAAATCTGGGGTCAGCGAAGAAGGACCCTCTCTGCTCCAACTCATGCTAAAGCCAGGACTAGACCTCATACGCATGGCTCGGCAGCCCATCACCACCTCAGGTCTGATCTAGAGTAGAAAAAGAGGTCCTGGGAAATGGTGCCAAGCACTCCCTTTCACAAAAGTATCCCCAGGGTAGCCCTTGCTATTAGCAGAGAGGGACTTTTCTACCTGAGATCTGCTAGGCAGGAAGAGGTGGGGGCTTTTGTCACAGTGATGTTTTCAAAATGGAAAAAGGTTAAGGATACCCACCCCAGCACACATACCCACACCTGCAACTGAGATGAGAAGTTACCTTTTGGATAGGGGGTTGTGACAGGGCGCTTGGCCTCAAGGGCTCTTGAGGACTGGTATGTGGGCTGTGCTGGCTGTGTAAGTCAGGGCTGCACCGCCCAGGGAAGTAAGCAGGCTGGACTATACAGCCTCTGGCAGACCAAATAGAAGCGATGCTGGGGAGGGACAGCCAGTGTGAGAGAGACAGATCTCCCCAAGAAGGTAGGCCCTTGATTGTCCCTCCTTTTTCCTTTGTTCAGTATTCATAGACAGCAACATGGCCTCTGGTCACCATAGCAACCAATGGCCAGATACCTTTCTCAAGGCCAGACCCATCTGCCCACACAGCAGGATATGTCTCTGTAGGAAAAGGGTAGGTCCTCCACAACTCCCAGTGGTCTAGAAGTAAGGCCAAGTCCTAAAGCAGAGCAGAGCCGTGGCCTCACTCAAGCCACACTGGCCAAAGTTGCTTCTGTTGTAACAGAGGGCTCCCCATTCCGGGGCCCAGCAGCTTTCTAGGGCCTGAACTCTTGGGCCAAGTTCTTCAGCCTCAAGTTCAACAAGACACATTCAGACAAGAAAACTATCCTTTTGTTATAAAAATGACTCCGGCCCCTCCTGGCCAGAGCCTCCGAACATTGCAGTCTGTCCCTCTGGCTGCCCCAGAGCTACTGGTTGTTGCACCCTTGTGAGGCTGAGGAGCTGCCTGCTTGCTTTTTCCTCCGCTTGTTGAGGAGCCGGTTGTTAGAGGTCTTCAGGTCTTTGATCTTCACCTGGTCATAGTCCACCCGCATGGTGGCCAGGGCACTGGTCATCTCCTCCTGCGTGCCATCAGCATAGGGGAAAGAAGAGGTCAGAATAGCCTAACATTAAAAGCCATTGCAATAACCCCTGAAAAGCCCCTCAATAACATCACTGACAGGAGTAACAGCGTGCACTGCTCCAGTGCCCACTGTGTGCTTGGCCTCGGACACATAATCCTCCCTACATTTTTTTTTTATTATGGTAGACACTGAGCTTATTCACAAAGGCAAAGGAAACAGATGACCCCCAGAGTCCACACCAAGGCTACTTGGACAGAGAACTGAACCAGTGGCATTTGCACAGAACCACAAGACCTGCGGACAATGGCATTTCCCTAGGTTCCCAAGGGTCTGAAGTTTTGAGACTGTACCCTGAGTACCCCAGTGCTCTACGATGCTACCTCATAGGAACAAAACTGACCCGTACTATGTCTAAAACAAGGCTGGTTCCTATTGCAAATGGCATGTCATAAGAAAGTTTCTGGCCAATGCTTGGGCCCCAAATCCTTTCATGGAGTCCCTGGCCTAACCCTCACTAACAGTGCCCCATGAGCACCATCCTAAATGGGAAAATGTAGCAGCCCAGTGCTCGGTGGCATGCCCTGGTTGGATCACTGGGACAGACACTGACATCCTCTAGGCACAGGGGAAGAGCCAAACACCAGATACTAAGGCAATGCCATCTAGGAATTTATAGAGACTGAGAAAGAATCTACCCACCTTGACTTCATCCCAGTGATCTTTGTCTTCCTGTAGCACTCGGGCTGTATGGAGTGGGGTCTGTGGGACCACCATTGATTGCTAGAAGGAACCCCAAGCCCGTGGATTAGAGCCTGGAACTGTGTGGTACAGCATAGGTTACCCCCAACACATACCCTTCTCCCATTCTCAAGTGGGGAAACGGAGGCTCGGAGCAAAGCCAGGCTACAGGTGGGATGTGCAAGATTCCAGTCTATCCCTGAACCCAGACCTCCGGGGCTACCACTGTCCAGCCTGCCAGCCCTACTCCAGGCCAAGACCATGCTCACATTGATCCAGGGATGGTTCATGAACTGCATGATGGTCAGCCTCTCTGTGGGGTCTGTCTTCAGGAGCAGGCGGATTAGCTGCTTGGCTAGGGGACCCAGAAAAGAGGGGAGCAGTGAATTGCAGGCCCTCAACCCTCCACATGAACCACAAGCTCTGTCAGACAGGGCTATAAGGGCTACATTCTTCATGGTCAGAAAGGGGAAGCTAACAATTGTGTCTTGTTTGAGGTCACCGAGTGCTTAGGACAATTTGTTAAGCAACAATAGATAACACAAGGCAGGATTGTTTGTGCTACCTAGGAAGGAAAATATGAACAAGGAATATAAGGAAGAGGGGGGTCCTGGGAAGGCATTTTTTTTTTCTTGAAACGGGGCCTCTATATATAGCCCTGGCTGTTCTGGAACCCTATGCGAATTTATAGAGACCTGCCTGCCTTTTGTTTCCCAAATGCTGGATTAAAGGTGTGCACCACCACAGCTGGCTGGGAAGACAAATTTTGAGCCCACTTGACAGATACAGAAACTGAGACTTGAAAAGTTCACATGGCTTGCCTAGGTTCACATAGCTAGGATGTAAACACAGTTTGACAGCCAAAGGAATATCTCCCAAAACAAAGGCTGAAGAGACCAGATTGGGCAGAGAAGCTCACTCACCATCCTCAGAGACCTCTGACCACTCAGGCTTGGGGAAGCCATATTGGCCCAAGCGAATCCTTCTCTTCATGCCTGGAGAGATGGCCTGGCCAGTGTTGGAGTAGAAGGGTGGGAAGCCACACAAACTGGGAAAGAGAAGAGGTCATTTGGTATAAGGGTTGGGCACACAAGGGTCAGGCACACCTACCCTCTCCTTTCACTAGGGACATAGGCAGCCAGACAACACAGCAATAACACCAGCTCCTTTGGACTCTAGAACATATCTCAAGAATGCCATCAGCCTTGACAAGAGAAAGCCCTCAGGCAGTCTCAAGGAAAGTGTCTCAGGACACAAGAAACAAAAGACAATCTGGTCAAGAGATGGCATGTCCCTAAGGACACAGGGGTGAGAAGCTGAAAGGGCCGTGGGAAAGTAGAGGCGGAGGGTTGAGGCAGGGTGGGGTGGGGTGGGTCGGGGAGGAGCGGTACTCACAGGATGTACATGATGACACCCAGGGACCACATATCACATGACTTGTCATACTTCTCTGGACCTAGGACCTCAGGAGCTGCAAGAACAGAGAGCATGGGAGATCTCTCAGCCCCAAGGGTCCTGGGAACTAGGAAGGAGTCTTAAGCCTGGGTAAGGTGAGGAACAGGTACCCAGGCTGGGAGGTAGGGCAGAGCAGACTGGCGTCTGGCACCTTCTGGGAAGGCAGCATGTGTGTGAAGTAGGGGGAGGAGAGACAGCTCCCAGAAAAAAATAAACTGCCTTCAGACAGCCCCCTAGCAACTTAGGGCCCCCCTGCCAGTCTCAACTTGATAAGAGAGAGGAGGGAAGAAGGCCAGCCCCAAGTTTGGTGAGGCCCTGCTACTGACAAGAGGGTCTCAGTCTGCCAGCTGCACTGTTGTATCTCTCATCTCCTTGAATGCACAGCCTAGATCAGACTTCTGTGTTCTACTATCATCTTGGCTACCCACCCATCGGCCTCGGTCTTTCAATCAGTGCAATGAGGTCAGCAGGCCAGACTTAACATTAAAGAACTGCAGAATACAACCCGGTAAACAGGGAGCCATTTCTGGCATTTCCTACTCCTTAGCTGCCTTCTCTAAAGGGAAAAAGCTTCAGTTATTGCCCTACTCACAGGAAGGGGCAATTGTTACAGGGACCTTTGGCAATCTTAGAGGCTGCCTGGAATTTTCCCAGAAATCATGTGTGGACACCCCCAAGCCCCACCTAATTCTGGGCTCAAGGGACCCTTTCTCACAAGGCAGGTGACTAGTACCCTGTATCCCACTAATGCAGGAGAAAAGGCCTGCCCACTTTCTGAATATGAAGATGAAAACCAGAGAAAAACAACCGCGGTTGGGCTCCATCCCGAGCTGATGGCAGCCTTTTATCACGTATATATTTAGAGCTGCTGTGATGTCATTCAGCTCACAGGCCACAGCCAGAATTTTCCTGGATCTATTTTCAAAAGCAGAAGCTGAAGTTTGGAAGAATATTTTTGCAGCCTCCGGCCCCCCACGTCACCCGCCTCCATGCAGACAAGAGTGCTCCCTCCTCCCTCCTCATCAGGCTTTAACTCTTTGGTTCCCACAACCCATTGGCTGCCCCCACCCATTCTACCGCAGTATACAGCAAGGGGGATACAAGTCACCTGATTAGTACTCACCCACATAATAGGGAGTGTAACAGGGTGTCTGCAGGGCATTTTGGGTGGTTTCCTTGGCAAAGCCAAAATCGGTGAGCTTAAGCACAGCATCTTTCTCCTTGGATGTGTAGAGTAGGTTTTCAGGCTGCATCCAGAAGAGAAAGAAAGCATTGATATAGACAAAGGTACCAGGAGGGGACAGAGCCCCAAAGTAACCTTGAATCCCTGCCTCCATCCCAATACATGATGAGCCAGTACTGTTTTATAAGAAGATCTGGACCTTGGTCACCAACAACGTGGATTGGAGGTGATGCCTTCATTCACAGAGAGAAAGGTGAGGCAGGTGTTCAGCCAAGACCATGAATGACCAGGTGCCATAGACCCCTCTAGGCAGAAACTTCTGCTCCTGAGTTGGTGTGAATACCATGAAATGCCAGAAAAGTCGCTGGAGTAGACTAGAAAGCAGACAGCTCATGAGCCATGATTGCCAAGCACATGTCCCACACACAACCCAGAAGGAAGCCCACAAAGTCAGCAGGCTAGGCCCATTTGAGGTAGCTCAGGGGAGCAGGTGCCCCCACCACCACCACCCCAACGCAGACCTCAGGAGCTACACAGAAGAAATCTCCCTAGCTGCAAAGCACAGATGGGCCTGGCAGATGGGAACAGCCAGCAGGGCTCCATGGAGGAGGCAGCCCTGAAGCTGGCTGTTAGTGAACAGGTAGGATCTTGGCCCTATGCCAAGGAGCAGGAGGGATGATTCCCAAGCAAAACTCAGGAGGGAAGAACAGTGCTCCAGTTTGGATCCAGTGGGAGCTATTTCTTAGGTTCTGTTTGAGAAGATCTGACCTTGGATTGGAACAAACAGAGAAGCGGTTTAGCATATCCTGCTCTGCAGGCTTTTCTTCCCTTAGGAAAAGGGGAACTTGAGGGCTAAAATAAAGCAAAGATTTAGAAGGTGGATCTGCTTTGGCTGTGTGTGTATCCTGAATCAAAGGGTAACTGTATAGGCTGGCAGTCCTCAATCGGAGAGGCACATCAGCTAGCCTTTTGCCTCATAGGTCCAGGCTTAGGAGGAAATAAACCAAGCAAAGGTGAGGAGGAACAGATTCTGTGTTAACAGTGGTTCACACACAAACGCATATAGCTATGTATATGTAAGATTTCCTGGGAGACCTTGGTTTTCCCAGAAAAGAAAATATGAAGCACTGTGCTTCCTATGTTTCAAGCCCATTCACTGGGACGGCAAGCAGGATTCCTTCCTCCGATAGCCAGCAAATGGCTTCTATGCTGTTGTTTAGCAGCCTAATTTGTTTAAACTCTTTTTGTGACTTGACAGAAGACCCGGACACGAAAAGGCAGCCCCTCTCAAAGGTCTGGCACATTGATGGTCATAAAACTTCTTGCTGAGCAAGTGAACAAATGAACCAATGAATCCCCACACAGCAACTTCACAGCTTAAGGTAAGATGGTTAATTTCTCAAAGAACCTCAGTTTGCTTGTCTGTGAAATGGGTAATGGCCCCATGCCGCAGATGGGGATTAAAAGACATGCTTGTCGGGGCCCACTGGCTGGAAGTAGGCAGTTATTCTCGTTACTATTGGGATTACCCAGTGTTTGACGAAAACAAGGAGGTCCATCTGGCAAGAGCAGACTGAGTGAGCTGTGCCATGGGAGGAGAGGAGAGCAGTCTGAGTGGGGAAGCTGAGGCAAGGCACTTAGCCTCAATTCAGTAAGCGCTGGAAGCATCAGGGTGAGTGACTCCTTCACTGTCTCCCAGGCTGAGTTCTGGCAGCTCACCTTGACGTCTCGGTGGGCGATGTTCTGGCTGTGCAAGAACTGGATGGCCGTGCCAATGTCCCTCATGATCTCTGCAGCCTCTACAGGCACAGAGAGGAAGGAGAACACAAGGCCTGTTTAAAAAGTCATGTGACCTGAGGGGCACCCAGCCCACAATCTCTTGAGCATGGTCTGGCAGGCCAGCACTAGATGGCAGTCCTGTAACCTAGGTAGGTCTTTCGTTCTAGCTATCCACCCAAACAAGTCCAATTTACTCCAAGAATGTTCTGAGCCCACCCAGGCCTCTTTCCTCAGGCCTACACTGCCTCATAATAGTTCTGCCATGGGTCAGCACCAAAAGCCTCGGAGTTCTCCACCTCAAGCCATAGATAGTCCATCTATAGTGTTACAGATTCAAAGAACAAACCCCTAGAGGGGGGTGGGACATTCTCTTTAGTTCTTATGTGAATCTTGAGGTTCAGCGAGGGGCAGGCCTTGCCCAGTATCTCATAGCAACTCTAGTGTAGCCTTCCCGCACTAACACTAACTCCTCACTGGTCCCAGGGCCACACAAACCTCTCTCAGTGAAAGCCTGGTCACCACGTTCCTGGATCCTGCTGAACAGCTCACCACCTTCCATGCTGCAGAGAGAGAAGGCAGAAAGGGGGAGAACTGGGTGTCACCAACTCGGTCTGCCCTGGATCAGGGGCCCATGGACCATGGAGAACCTGGCAAATGGTGGGCTGTCAGCTTGGGTGGGTTGATCTGAACTTTGGGAACTAAGAAAAGGTGGAAAGCCCAGATCCTTGCCAGGAAACTCCCATGCTCCCTGCAGTGCTGGCTCTGCCTGGCTATGAGACCTTGGACACCCCCAACCCTATCTAAGGGTATTTCCCCAGGTGCATAATGAGACATCAGCTGTCATCTTCATGGCCCATGGCTCTCTGTGTGCTCAGTGTGGGCTATGCCCCAAGTTCCACCCTTCATGCTCATTGCTATGGAACCCTGGCCTGGTTCTTTCCCTCAGCTACCTCTTTTGTTAAAGGGGAATAATAACACCAACCTCCAGGAGTCATGAAGATTGACTGTGTGATATACAGGGGAGAGCTTGGAACAGAGTCAAGCTCAGGGTAAACAACGCATTACAATCTTCCTCCACGTTTAACATTTGAGCTACAGAGATCCAGAAAGATTAGCAGGTGCCCACAGTCCCACAGCTAGTGGGTGGCAGAGCCAGGGTCTGAACCCCAAATCTGAACAGCTAGCTAACTTATAGAGGGAGGAGAGACTTGAAAAGCAAACAAAAAAGAACCCAGACAGGGGCCATAGAGTCTGAGGAAGGCTAAGATTGTGCCTCAGTGCTAATGGCACAAGCCCAGGATGGAGGAGGCCAATGAATCCTGTTCCCGGGCCTCATCACCCAGTATCCAATAGCACAAGAAAGGAGAAAGCCAAGGAGCTATGTGTATCCTGCTCCTTCCCAAAGCTTCCTGCCCACACATTCAGGGCTTGGCAGCCTTTTCTGACAGCTCCTTGCAGAGTGAAAGTCCTGTCCAGGAAGGCAACAGAGAGCTGTGGAAATATTTTCTCCTGCCCTTGTGGAAAGGCCCTGGTGGCCAGCCCTACAAATCCAAGGCCTGTGACTGTCTACTCTACAACTCCTCAAGAACTGGAATGACACTCAGAGCTGCTCTCTGAAGAAGCCCTTAGATAGCAGTGATCCCGGGGCACAAGGACACCAGAGGGGCTCAAAGGGGGACCTGCCTACCATTCCATGACGATGAGGAGGCAGCGCTTGCCGTGATGCATGTTCTCATACACATCCAGGACGCGCACGATGTGGGGGCCGCCTGAGGCCTGCCAGTGGTGGTCCACCTCCTGCCGGGCCTTGGGGCTGTCATACAGGAGCTGTGGGAGGAGCACCAAGGGCATCAGGCTCGTGCTCACTACCTTCCCTTTGCTCAAAGAGGCCTGTGGCCTGCCGGAGCACCAGGACAGAATGAAAATTCAAATCCAGTTTTCCCTGAGTCTCTAAACTTGAGGGGTCAGCCCTGGGCACGAGCAGCTTGGCCAATAGGTCTAGAGGCCCCTGGAATGTGGGTGACAGGTTAAAGTTCAGAGGTCAGAGAAGTCCCTACTTCTCTTTTCAGGGGAAGCAAATGAAGCAGAGATTGAGCCAGGTTGGTGGTGGGTCACATGAGTCATGGGCAGCAGGCCAGGGGCCACATATCTTTCAAGCCTCGTTTTTATAATTGATGACAGAGTTGCCCAGTTATCCAGGCTGATTGGGATCTGCATATGCCAGGCCCTTGGTGACTCCTTGTGTTCCTCATCCAGAATCTCTATGGGAATGTGGGGGTGCCAGAGAAAGGCAAAAGGAAAAGCTCATCACACAGGGAAGATGTTGGAACTGTATATACAGAGGCTGTCTGAAGAGGCATTGAGACTTCAGTCCATCAGTCTACACCTCAGGGGCCTGACCCTGAGTGGAGGGAGACACGGCTGTGTTCCTTCAGGAGCAAAGGTAATTAAGACATCACACTCTCCAAGAGTGGGTGCAGGAACAAAACTGTCACTACCAAGAAAAGTGCTTCTAAAATGAGTTGCTTGGAGCTGGTGAGATGGCTCAGTGGGTAAAATGCCTGTTACCAAGCCTGGTGACTTAAGTTTGATTGCTGGGACCCACGTGGTAGAAGGAAAGAACCAGCTGCTGCAAGTTGTTCTCTAAACACACACACACACACACACACACACACACACACACACACACACACACACACACACACACACACACACACACAAACACACACACACACACCCCAAAATTGAACATGTAAGATAAAATTAGTTGTTTGGCCATGACTTCTGGCTTTCAACATAACTCTGTAGCCTCCCTGAGATCTGTGCAGAGCAGGGAGATGATGCTAGAGGGACAGAGCCACCTCAAGGTGACCTCACCTTCATCTAATGCCTATAGACCCCTGGTTATAACATATAAACTCGGGGCAGGGAGGACTCTAATTGAGGAAAATGACAACTGAGTGGAGTTGGATGTAGTGTGGAGGTTGAATTCCTCCAGTACTTACTGTGGCCTTAAGTAAGTATGCACAGCTCCAAGCCACAGCCCACAACCCTGTAAAATGTAGTAATAACATAGTCATCCCCACAAGACTCATCTCAGTCAAGCGGGCATGAGGTAGGCGAGTGTCAGGAATCTCACTCAGGTTAACAGCCGGGGGCTATGGCTGCCTTCCATAAGGCTGATCATCGGAAATGAGCAAACCCTGGGAGTGAGAGAGCCTGGAGGAGTTGTGAAAGAAGTCAGCATACAAGAGGAGAGGGCCCAGAAAGGGGACAATAGTGACAAGCCACCCCAGCAAGCTTGCTCATCCAAGGACCAGCTGTATTTTATTTCTTATTTGCGGGAAGCTGGGGATCAGCACTCTGATCATCTCTGCCTTGCTCAGCACCTGGAGGAACCTAGGACACACTGGCCTCAGTTTCCCCCATACAAGATGGGAGAGCCAGGCCACTTTACACAGAGCACAATTGAGATGGCTGTAGAACCAAGCTCTCCAGATAAAGACAGGGCAGTGTCCCAGGGAAGGGAGAGGAAAGCAGTAATCTCTGAATCTTCTACCCTTTGGCCGTACCTCTAGCTTTGGAGGTGTTTCTCTCTGCTTCTCTCTGGAGGTGGGAATACAGGCAGTGTAAGAAACACAGGGATCCAGGGACTAGCAAGTGCCTCGTCAGTTCTGAGTTCCCTACTCTGTTACCGTGGCCAGGGTAGGTATGTTTGGAACAACTGTAGGCCAAGACCACTTCTGGGTACTATGGAGCCTGGCCTCTCTGAATACCTTTGAGGTCCACACTGGAGCACTGGCTTCCTGCTGTCAGTGCTGAGGACCTTGGTCACAGACCCTGCAATTACCACTGCAGCCCACCTACACCGTGTCCCTGTCAGGGTGGCTCTAGCTAGGATACCCTCATTCTCAGCCACAGGCCCCCAGGTGAACCAGCCTTCTTTGCATAGCAATTCTCTTCTACCTCCCAACCTTCCATTCCCCAGGCTGACCTGTCAGTCAGACCTCCGAGACTGGCTCCCTCTGTCAGTCAAACCCCAAGCTGACAGATAGAATGCATCCAGCATGGCCAGCGGCTCTTCCTCTCCTCCCTCTGTGGGCACAGATCTCCTTTCCACGGGCCTTCTAGATGAACACCTTCCGCCCCAGCATCCAGACTTCACTCACCTCATGATCTGCTACCTCTGGGCCCTAAACAGTGTGTCCAGGCCAACAGGCTGCCCTTGCTATTCCCAAACAGCCCCTCTCTCTATTTTACCAGCCAGGTTGGGAGCCGGTATAGAGCAAAAGCAAGACAGGTGAATTGGGCTTCCCTGGCTGGTTCTCAAAGGAAACCCTGGGGTCCTGAGCAAGCAAAGGGGGAGAGAGGATGGCAAGGGCTGGAAGAAGACGAGGGATGGAAGAGGGTGGCCACAGAGGAGCCACAGAGACTCAGAGCTGGGCCTGATATGGAGAAGCAGGTGGAATAGCTCTGAGATGGAGCTGTGTGAGGCCTCTACCCTACTTCCCATGTCAGCTAAATAGTCCTTTTGTTCCAAGGCCCTGAGAATAGGCACAGGCATGGGACAATGGATGTTCCCAGTGAATCAATGGATGCTTCCTCTGTTCTCTCTGCAGGTGAGACCACAGGGCTCAGAGCCTTGAACCTGGACCCAGCAGCCAACAAATCCCCTGGACCGTCACTTCTGCCACCCTGATTTGTCCCTCAGCATAGCCTCAAATCTGTATGTTCGTATATATGTATGTATGGGCGTACTTGCCTGTTCATGAACATGCGAAGGCCAGAGCTCCACAATGTGTGCCTTCTATTCCTCTATTTGTTGTTTGTTTTTGAGACAGGGTTTCTCTGTGTGGCCCTGGCTGTCCTGGAACTCTGTAGACCAGGGTGGCCTTGAACTCAGAGATTCACTTGCCTTTATCTCCTGAGTGTTGGGATTAAAGGCGTGTGCCACCACCACCAGGCTTTTGGTTTGTTTGTTTGTTTGAGACAAGATCTCATAGAGCCCAGGCTGGTTTTGAACTCACTATATAGCCAAGAGTGACCTTGATCTCCTGATCCTCCTGCCTCTACCTCTTGAGAGTTGGGATTATAGGCATGTGCTACCAGTCCTGGTTTATGAAGTGTTGAGGATCAAGAGCTCTACCAACTGAACTATACTGTCAGCCTCCAAATCTTGTAAAAGCTAAGTTTCCTCATCTTCTTTCCCCACAGCTAGATCCTCCTCCTCCTCCTCCTCCTCCTCCTCCTCCTCCTCCTCAAGGTGCCCCTTCGTGTCACCTCCTTCCAGAAGTCCTCCTGCCCATCTTTCCTTAAAAAAACTCCCAACAGTCTCCTTTAACCCTTTATTCTTCTCTGTCTACTCTGTTTGTTTGTTTATGGAGTATAATTTACAGTGGGTAAAATGTACAGGTCTCACTGGTCTGGTTCAATGAGTTTAGACAATCCCACACGCCCTGGGAGCCACACCCCCATCGGCATGGAAAACATTTCCAGCTCCCCGGAAAGCTCCCACTTCAGAGCCCTTTTTACCTCCCATGCCGCAATGCTCGCAGCCTACAATTAGCTCGTTCCTTTGATCACTCCTTAAACAAATATACACAGACACTGTACATTCAGTGTGCCTGGTTCTGTTCAGAACATGTTTCAAATATCAGGAAGAGAGTACATCATTATCATTGTTTTTTAGATAAGAAACCAAAGCACAAAGAGAGGAAATAACCAGTCCCTAATCACATGACTGTTCTCCCAATCTCTCCCAAGGCCAACATCCTGCTGCCTCCCTCATCAAACTGTGAGCCCACAGAGCAGGGTCTGTCTGCTCAGTCACCTCTGGTTCCCAGTGCTGGGGAACAGGGCCTGGCACAGGGCCCAGCCCTGTGTCTAATATTACTTGTAAATTAGGTGACTGCATCCACAAAGGAGGCATGACAGGAGGAAACTTACAATGCATTATGGGAACAAGATAAGAAGAGGCAGGCTCTACAAAAGACAGGTATGGCATCCTAGCCAAACTTTCTGTACATACCTCTTCCATTCTTCCTGGTGAGCCAGACTTCACTTCCTCTTTCAGGGACCCATGGGAACTTAGTCTAGTCCCCACAGCAAGTTGCCATCGTCATTCATGCAGGCACATGACTCTATGTGATCCTTCTTAAACAGTGTCCCCAAGCATGAGAATGAACACAGGCTTAGGGACAGTAGGCCCTGACTCTATTCTTAGTATGTCCTTAGGCCAATACCCTTGTCTCTCTGGACCTCTGTTTCCCCAGTGTAAAACTGTAAGTCTCAGTAACAAACGGAGCCTTTGGACAGAGCCCGCTTGCAAAGTACTTATTATAGCCACTGCTACAGCCCCCATGGGGGCGCTATAACCACACACTGAAGCCCACTCAGGTCTTCTCAGAATGGACAACAGTCTGCCCAGTCACAGTTGTGGGAGGGACAAAAAGATTAAGGAAGGAGCTTATGACAAACCAATAGACTACCCCCAACCACTGCTTCATTCCTATGTCTCCTGGGCTCCTCAGGGGTCCATCTAAGCTGGGGGGGGGGGGTGTCAGCAATGACATCCAGGCAGCTAGCTCCATGACTAGCTAGCACCCAATAGAAACAAACAGCTCTACACAGAGGGAATCTGTATACATACACACATACACTGTAAGGCTTCCTTCTGAAGAATCGGGGCTCCTGGCAGTAGCTGAAGTCTGAACACCACTGAAGCTCAGCAGAGCATTGAATTTGAGGTAGCATGTCCTTGAACACTTCTCTAGCCTAAGCCTTTAAAGCAGTGGTTTCCACTTTGCCTTCTCTCCTCACTCTCCTTT